TAATTCACATTGTTGCTATTTCAAAAATTATTAATAAAGATACGAGCAAGGCCTCACCTTAATGCCAAAAAAAAAAAGAATATATTAACTAACTTTTAATAAATTACACATAAATATAGTAGCTGACTTATATAATAAAACAAAAGAATTGTTTATCGGTGAAAATAAGAATTTATATTGTCATAAATATGTCATCGCACTATAAGTAAGCATATTTATTAAGTAAAAAAAAACATTGTTATATTCTCTTTTTAGTTTAGTTAAAATAGAAAAGCAAAAAAGAACTTATATACCCAAACAAATAGCCATAAAAAATGTATTTAAAAGAAACAAAAAAGTTTAATGACTGAAGAACAGCAGAAAAAGTAAATCAGAAAGGAGATAGACTCGCAGTTAACATTTTATATTGATAATATTAAAGCGAAAGAGAATATAAATCAAGGTGAACAAACAAATGAAGAAGATAACCTAAATAAAATACTATATTTTGAATGAAATAATTAAGTTTATGATGTAATAAATTTTTATTTTAGAAAACCAAATATCACTACGTATCAATTTACTAATGCTGATCATGACCTCAAAAAGTTTCGAGATGCTATCGCAGGTCTTAAGCCTTGCTTACAATCTTTTTTCGGTTATTGGCTGGAGCTGAGAAGAACGAAATGAAAACTTTTTAAGACTTACTCTGCTAAATTTTCGGAAAGTCTGACTCTCGCTTCACCCTGACTCAAAGTTTAGGCTCAATAACTAGAATTGAATTAAATTCAAGTTAGATTCAACATTTGGATACCTGAATTTTGAGTTAAAATATAATGGCTAACTTTAACAAAATAATAAATGACTTTTAACAAAAGAATAATTTGTCATATTATACTAAATTCTAGTGATGTCTAGTTTCCACTTTACTCTAGCCAAAATTTTAGATTTAATTATCAGAATCAAATCTAAATTAGGGTTATTAGGGTTCAATGTTTGGATACCTGAATCTTGGGTTAAAATATTCTGAGTAGTATTACACAACTAGCATTAGTCATGTGTATAGTTACAACTTTTGTATGTAATTAGTTAGTAATATGTAATAATTAGTGAAGATGCAGGAAATATGCAATTAGTAAACAATCTGCTGTACAAAGTGAAGCAACAGTATAGTAATTAGTACATGCGCATAAGGAATATAGTAATTAAGTAATTATTGATGTTAGTAATCGTTGAACAATGGTTAAAAGAGAAATAGAATATAAAAAAGAATAGAGAAAGAGATAGAAAAAAGGTCTTTTTAGTCTTTTTGGTTGATAAATTAGTTTTTCGGTTAGTTGAGTTAGTTGGAAAGTACTCTGGGAGTACCTTTAGAACCTTGAATAATAAAGAAGACTCATCTGTTAGTTGCTTATTTATAGTACTTCATATAAACAAAATACATACTTACTTTTCTTTTTAATGTTTACAACTCTGAACTAAATTGGCCACACTGTTCTGAAGTCTCTCTCTTGGGTGTAACATTTATGGTGTCGATTGTGTGGATAAATAAGACCGAAATTGTGGATGAATAAGACCGAAATTGTGGATGATACAAAAGAAAAACAGGAGTTAAATCAGTACTTTGTGTAGATAAATAAAACAAAAATTAGCGTGTATGCTAAAAATTATAGTCAAGAGAAACAAAAGCCAAAGGTCGGGTTGTGTTAATAAAGAAAATTTTTATTTGTTGTGTGTTAAATCATAAATAATTGTGGAACAAATTCCAGACCTGTTTCAGCTGAGTCATAAAGACAATAAGGAATTAAGAAATATAACAGTAACGAACAATAAAGATAATAGTTTGACAAACTTATCAAAAGAACAAACAGAGTTACGTGTGGATAGATCAATGATAACAAGGAATAGTGAATAACGATAATAAAGAGAAAAGCGTGAATCGATTCAAGAATAAACAACAAATTGGTGGATGTTGAATAGGATGAACCGGATGAACAGGACAAATGTCTGGAGATGTCAATGAATCAAATGAATGGTAATAGGCAAGAAGGATACACAGCATATATACAAAGTGATAGTTGTCCCTTAGAAGAGCCTACCTTGTTGGATGAACCCAATCCTCCGATAGACCAAACCCATATTCAACCACCTTGGAATCAACTTCTTCAGCATATGACAAACCTAATGTCAAAACAACAAGAAGCCTCACGTGAAGCAAAAGAACACCAATTCGTAAATATAATAGTCTTTATAGGTGACAATCAAAACCCTATAGAGTGGTTAGAAGCTGTTAATAGGGCGTTTCAAGCTAATAATCTTGTAGGAGACAGAAGACTTGCAGTGGTTGGTGCTTACTTCTCTGGGCTTGCAGCATTTTGGTGGGAAGGTTAAAGAATAAGAATACTGGGTCTACAATATTAAAAAACGAAAATTATCCTGACCAAAGCTTTCTACATCAATTTTACATAAATTTTTGTACACATGCCTTGATAATACAATGAAATACTGAACTCCTAACAAGAAAGCAACATATTGGAGAAATAGTAAACCAATATGCAACGAATATGTTGGTCCTATTTTGAGAGTGACGAAAGTGGGTAATCAATACCCAGAAATTGTAAAAGCTCAGATGTTTGTATAAGGTCTCCGCCTCGATTTGTCCTTAACTCTTAGCCTATTTATGTCCAGTACCCTACAAGAGGCGATTGATCGAGCATGAACATACGAAATGACTTTTGCAAGAGGTTTGGCTACGTGTGGATCTGCAGCAATTTATAATACAATGTTTGGATCTTGGCTGCAACAATCTTATTCTCAGCAACTGTAGACTCTACCAACCTCGCAAGCTATACAACCATCAATGCCAATGCAACCAGTGATACCATTTCAGCCACAACTATCTCAAGTTTTGCAATCTCAGATACCAATGCAGCCACCAATGTCTTTTCAATCATGACCATCAGCAACAATGCCACAGACAGTGACATTTCAACCTCAAGCACAAATGACGAGCCCACCATCCCATAAGATCCCTCAAAGTGAAATAGGTCAAATGATTTCATTGCTTCAAGAAGTTGCAATAGCAGTTAAAGGTAGCTCAAATAATAATTATAACCATAATGTTCGTTCTGTTGTTAGTATGAACCACCAAGATAGAAGTGGTCATGAACCTACCTGTTTCTCTTGCCAACAACCTGGTCACTATGCAAGAGAATGCCCTAATGTAATTTGACGAGAAAATGAATATAGGAATGCTCCTCAGGTGCCGAATTTGAATAATAATGATCATGTGAGGAATGATGGCAATATGTCAATGAATAGGAAACCATGGGCTCAAGCTATGATAGCCCAGATGGAGAATGCGTTTCAACATTTAAACTAGAAGACGCACCTTTAGAGGGTAAGTGTGCGTCGACATCAAAAAATCTCTCAGTAATTAGGATTGAAGAGGCCTATATGGCGAAGAGTCAAAGAAAGGACATTGATGGTTTGGATGAAGTTAATGCCCCACCGCCAAATAAACCTGTAGAGAAAACAGAGCCTGCAAATAAAAAGACAAAAGTTGAAAAAAAGAAGAGGACCAAACCCATTGACCCTCCGGTAGTAACAGGTGTTCTACCTTATTCGATAATACAGTCAGGGGATATACCAAATTAGGCAATCAGGTTCTGGAATAATCAACACAAAGATCCATGAATTTGATTGGCTTTTGCATTTTTTTTTGCATTCAAGTTACGTTCAAGTTCATCACGGGGTTTTACA